AGATCTCTGTTTACAAACTACCCAGTTCATGGCAATTTGTTATAGGAGCCCAAATGGACTAAGATGCTGGGTCAGTCGGGGTTAATAAGGAAAGGTAAGATCAGAGTGGAGATGCACAACAGATCCTGGCCCTGCAGAGTCAAACCTGATAGCAACCAGGAGTCCACAAAATAATGTCAATGGCAGAAGCTTCTGGGCGCAGACACCACCCAGCTTGCTTCAATAAATGACTCTTCAGATCAGACCACCCTTCTTTCCTGGTCTCCCTTTACCACCTTGCTGTTCCCTTTTCAAGTTTCCTATGGAGTTTTCCTCACATGCTTGAACCTTCACTGTTTATGTTCCCTTCCTAAAAATTAATAAGAAAAACAGAAACCAAATGTATGGAATGAAGTCAAGATATGAATAGGGAATTCACTAAAGAAGGATTAAATATGACTGTGATCATACCAGGGAAAGAGTTTCCAAAAAAAACTATGAAAGGAAGCTCACTAGAAAGCAAGTAAGCAAAAAGAAAACCAGCATACAGGTCTTGCTTATCATTCTGGCAAGGAAATCAAGGAATGGTAACACCATAGGACAAGTAGAAAGAAATGTGCAGACTCCTCATCTTTGATGGAACGGTGAAATGGGAGATCCTTGCTGGAGAATAATTAGACAAGATGTATCAGAATCCCTAAAAGAGGCTCAATCCAACTTTTAGGGGATAGATCTCAAGAGAACAACTAGTCAAATGTGCAAAGATGTGTGTAGAGGGAGATTCAACTCTGTAACATTTATCAACACCAAAAACTAGTACCGAGCTGTAGTACAGCAGGAGGAAACTGGAGAAATAAATTGTTTTATTTTTTTTTTATGTCTTTTCTTAGGGTTTTTATTTTATTTATTTATTTATTTGCAGCTTTTTGGCTGGGGCTGGGTTTGAACCCGCCACCTCCAGCATATGGGGCTGGCCCCCTACCCTTTGGAGCCACAGGCGCCACCAAATTGTTTTATTTCAGTAACATAATACCTTCCAGCCATGACCAGAGATGATGAGGGGTTATTGACATGGAAAAAAAAATGTCCAAATGTAGCTCCAAGCAAAGAAAAATGATGAAAAGTATGTTCTAATTTATTTTAGGAAAAATATAATTTAAAAATAGCATACCCAAACATGCAGAGAAAAGTCGGAATGCTTATACCAAATGTTTGTCACA